TCCGACCATCCGACCAGTCACTATGACGCACACTGATCACCAGCGGGCAGACGCTCAACGCAGGAGCTGCTGTGATGCACACTGGCCATTTAGAGAAACGGCAGACCTGGCACCAATAAAGCAACACTCGGCTGCCCCCAAGTGGGACACAGGCCTCGCCACCACCCTGGAACGATAGCCACCAAATCACAGCCGATGCTGCCAGGGTGCAAAACGTGCCCACAGCCCAGGCCGGCCCGGAAACGGCGGCTGTGAGCACTGGGTAATGACGTCATGTAGCAACTTCCGGCTTCCTCTCCCTAATGAGTAGCTTCCTTGCAGTTTCTTCAGCCCAGGAATATGACTTGCTTTATAGCCAGGTGGAAACATTTCACACTTTAACCCAGTGGTTGGCAAACTGCAGCTGGCAAGCCACATGCGGCTCTGTGGCAACCTTGAGTGTGGCTCTTCCACAAAATACCATGTGCGGGCGTGCATGTACAGTGCAATAGAAACTTTGTGGCCCATGCGCAGAAGTCGGTATTTTCTGGAAGAGCCACACTCAAGGGGCCAAAGAGTCGCATGTGGCTCGCAAGTGACAGTTTGCCGACCACTGATTTAACCAAATGTCTGTGAAGGATTTTCCTGTGCCTCATCTCATTTGGTCCTCACATAAGTCCTAGAATAGGTAGATAGGAGACTCAGTGGAATCCTATTTTCTTTCATTAGCCAGAAAACGGAGATTTGGAAAGCTTAGAAACTTGACTCAATTGAAAAGAAGTAAGAAATGGTGGACCTTGAAAATGACTTCAGGTTTTCTCACTGCGCAGAATATAGTCAAACAGGGGTACAGTTAAATATTTCACCTTTTGTTCTCCCTGTGTGATGTACAATAATCATCTGCTTCGTGTTGGTATTTACTGCTGTGTTGCTGACAATTACCTGAAAGAGAAGTTGGGGTGCTTCCCTGGGCTGGGAAAAGTTTAGCTAAACCAGAAAGCAGGTCTAATGAAGCAAGTTGACTTGCACATGCGCGATGCATATAAAGCTCTCGCTGGCGTCAATTGCAAACACACGTTTCGATCTGTCATTGTCGATCGTGAATTTGGTTGACTCTTCTATTATAGAGAAAGGGCGAAGAGTGATATTAAAATATTTCTTCTAATTAATTTATTTTCAATGTGCACAAATTTGTGCACCGGGCCACTAGTTCATCACATAAAAATAAAACTTAGGTGAAGGCACTCTTTGGAAACATCACATATAAGACGGCTAAGAAGAAAAGATGTACAAACTTTAATTCTCATCCCACTTGAACGTGTATGTCTGAAATTTCCTCATGATGGAACTGTGTCCCTGGGACGATAGAGAAAAATTCGCCCAGTGTGGGATTCAGGTCGGGGTACACCATCCAGCAGGTGCGAAGGCTCCGACTTCACAGCTACAGACACGTGACCTTCCCAAAGGCTGCACTTGGTTAGGTGCTCAGGCCCACGGGCAGCAGATGTGGCTGCCTCCCCAAAGCAGCTTCCCAGGGCAGCCGGCTGTGCCCAGGCCCCCTGGTGTGCAGTGCAAACGTGGGGTCCCTGTCTCAGGGGTGGCGGGGTGGCTTTGGCCAGCCTTCCAGGGCCTGGGTAGGAGGCACGTCATGTGTGTGGTTGTGCCTGTGCTGTTCTCGTCGGGTGCTAGGCGTTCCCTCAGGAGGGCCTGAGCCGTCTCTCCAGAAGCACCAGCTTTGTCTGCAGGTTGACGTTGAAGGGAGGCAGCCTGGTCAGGTTCAGACTCACCCCCGTGGTGCCTGCAACACTGGCCAGCACCCGGTGTGTGTCCCTGTAGAGGGCCAGGTGCTCAGGGGCCGCCTCCATGAGCAGGTGTGTGTAGGCCAGCATGTGCTCCGATCCAGGCTGCACATCCTCCC